CGTTCTCTACTGGGTGAGACTGCTGCCACTCTACCCCCGCCTGCCCTGCACCTCCGCCCCGGCCTTCCATTGGGCAGAAGGCCGAGCTGACCACGCCCTTCCCCGCTCTGACTGGGCTCCGGCGCTGCCAGTTTTTCCCGGCCTTTAAAGCGCGTGCAAAGAGCACCACTTTGTGTCACCCGCGGCGCTGATTGGCTATAGGGACCAAGGGCCGCGCCCATGCACTGATGCGATTGGCTGAGCTAGAGAAGAGGGCGTGGCCTGTGGGCCTGCCCCGCCCTCCAGAGCCGCGGGCGGGGCGTGCCCGCGTCGGGGGTGCCGGACTGCGGCACTTCCCCTCTGCTCAGTGATCCCCGCGCGGTGCGGCCAAATCACCGGCCAGCCTGGAACGATTTCCTTATTTCTTCCATCCCCCTCTTCCAAAGGAGAAAAATGGCAAGCTGCCGACGCCAGCCGAACGCACACAAGTGTCAGGTCAATGTTACAGCAGCGGCAGGATGGGCTGTGGGCGTACCTGGGGCCACCAGGGCTGCTCCGTGCGGGACGGTGGCAGCGGCTCCTGCCCTCGGTATTGTTCTCCATCCTGGAAATGTACTGCATGGAGCCTCCCTCCCTCCTTCCCCTGCCCTCGCAGGACAGGTCGCCATCGCCGAGCCCGGGAGGAAGGCTCGCTGCCGGTCATTGCTGCTCGGCCTGCGAGCGCAGCATCCCGGGGCGGTGCGGGTGAATCCGGCCCCGGCGCCTCCCGCTGCTGGAACACTGGTGCAGAGACTGCTAGAGCAGCGTATGTGCACGATTAGAAAAAACTGAGTAGTGAAAAAACCCTCCCGCTAAAAGGTTAAGTTAAAATAAAGTCAAGGACTACGAAACTGAAGTAGTGCCAGATTTAAGGTAATTGTCCCTCTGGAGTAATGCACTAACATACAGTCCTGAATTAACTGATCACAGGCCTGTTTGTGTTTCTTTGGGGTTTTTTGTAAGCTTTGCCTTACTCAGTGAGTCAGAATGTGCAAGTGGAGATGATTTTATTTTGCTTGTTTTCCACTGCCTGTTTCACAGAAAAGATTGATTCACAATAAAATGAATCCACTTTTCAAAAGTCAGGCACTAAAACCCACGTCAGAGCAATGAAAGCTCACATTATTTGAAATTCTCACTTAGTCACTAACTTGTTGAAATTACTTCTATAGAACTTCCTGCCTGTGTCTCAGGATATTTTCCTATTTTCATCATCTTTTCTTGAGCTCAGTTGTTAATAACACTAAGGTTGGAGTTCAGTCCCCATATGAACTATTTACTTGAGACCTGGACTCTGTGATCCTTGTGAGTCCCTTCCGATTCAGAATATTCTGTGATTCTGTGAAACCTCTGCAAAAAAATATAATTATAAAGCAATGCAAGCTAGGTTTCACTTCTTTGGTAGTTCTATAACATCCCACATGCCAGACATTCATATTAGTATGTGTCATCCCAAGTTCTTATACCCAATAGGGGCACCACTGAGTAGCAGTTCATCTGATCTAATTCTGGTTTAAGAGGAACAATTCCTTTAGGGGTGTCTGTTTGTTCACTTGACCATAAAAAGCATGCAAGCTGCTAGTTCACAATAAAAACATATTAAAAAAGAAAATTTCTTCCATCCCTTACAAAGCTGTAAATTGATACAGATGTTAAGAAAGGTGGCACAGAAAAACCCTTTTTGGTTGTATCTGAAGACAGAAAGGTTTGTACTTTACCCCCATTTATATTAGTCTAAAATGAAAGATACTACTTGGCCTTAAAAATATTTCCTTAGACTATAGCTTCTGTAACTACTTTCATTCTAGATTGTAAAGAAAATAGGTTTGACAGGCAAAACTTCCATATATTTTTGAATGCACAAGTATAATCCCTGACCCTTAAAAATGAGATCTGCAAAGAAATCCAGAGGGAAACATAAACTGTTTTCTTAGCTTCTGCCTGCTAAACAGGGGATTCATGCATGAGCCAGAAGAAGCCTGTCCCATGAGAATAAGGCCCATTAAAACATGCACCTCAGTAAGTTATAAATAATCCCCTTTGTTACCACTAGCTGTAGACCACTATGGAGGTCTCCAAGCCAACAGATGCTACAAAATCAGGCCTGTGTTTCCTTTCTAAAGCCTGAGTTTATAAAATGCAGAAATGCTTCACTTCACATAGAGCAGATAAACAGGTCATGGCTGATCCATCGTTGTGCTGGGTCGCTTGCCAAGGTTCTGATAGCAGAAGGATTTCAGGAGTGCTTCTGTGAGAAGCTGCTAGAAACTTCTCCTATGTCTGACAGAGCCAAGGCCAGACAGCTCCAAGACAGACAAATCAGTGCTGGGGTAATGCCTCTGTGGTAACATATTTAAAAGGGGAAAAAAGTTAACGTGCAGATGCAATGGTGGCCAGAGAAGGGGGGAGTGAGAACATGTGAGAGAAACAGCTCTGCAGCCAGCAGGGTCAGTAAGGGAGGGGAAGGAGGTGCTCCAGGTGGCAGAGCTGACATTCCCCTGCAGGCTGTGGTGGAGCCCATGGAGCTCCACAGGGTTCAGCAATCCACCTACACAGCACCTGGAGACCCTATCCTGCAGCAGGAGATGCCCAAAAGAAAGGTGTGGGAAGCCCACACTGGAGCAGGGTCCTGACAGGACATGTGAGCCTGTGGGAGACCCATGCTGGAGCAGCCTGTTCCCCAAGGACTGCACTCCAAGCTCAGCTTGGAGTGGTTTGTGTAGGCCTGTCCCTCTCCCGTGGGAGGGACACACACTGGAGCAGCTGAAGGACTCTTCTCCCTGAGCAGGAAGCAGCAGCAGAAACAGCACATGATGAACTGACCATAACCTCCATTCCCCATCTCCCTGAGCCGCTGTGTGGGAGGAGTAGAAAACCGGGAATAAAGTTAAGCCCAGAAAGAAGGGAGGGTGGGGGAAAGGTGCTCCTAAGATTTCTTTTACTTCTCATTGTCCTGCTCTGATTTTGATTGGCAATAAATTCAATTAATTTTAAGTCTGTTTTGCCCATGACACTGACTGGTGAGTGATCTCTCCCTGTTCTTATCTCAGCCTCCAAGTCTTTAATTGTATTTTCTCTCCCTGTCCAGTTGCACAGGGGAGTGACAGAGTGGCTTTGGTGGGCATCTGGAATCTAGCCAGGGTGGAACCACCACATGGACTGAGACAGCTTAAGCAGTTCCAGCATTAGTGTCTTGATACTAACCCTCCTGGCATCCTTTATTTTGTGCCAGTGCAATCACCTGGACAGCTAAATAGCAAGGTAGGTCAAAGAGCAAGACTGTCCTCAATGCTCCCAAAAAGCAAAAAATCCCATAACGAAACAAACCTTTCAACACTTGCTTAAGTTTTCTTTATTTGTTTGTTTTCCCAGCCAGCTGAATATCCAGATCTGGCTTACTACACATATGTGCAAGTGCTCCCATCAATGCACGGGAGAGGAGTAACAAACCATGGAAGTGAAGAGTGGCAGTAAATGCATTTGCCAGTTTGCACACTGTTAGATCAGCCTTGGAAATGCAGACTTCTTTTCTTTTTTCCTGAAAAAGACTGCCATTGTTTGCTTTTTTTATGTTTGCACTGCTTTTTTAACTGATAGCTAAAATAACAACCACGTTAAAAAAAAAAAAAAAACCAATTGTAGACTGTGAAAAATACTGGATAACAAGAGAAAGAGGAGCCATTTACTTAGTTATATCTTCTTCACTATCAGAAACAGTGCAGATGTGTCTGAGAAAGAATTTCCAAAAGGAAACTCTGTATCCAAAGGATATCAGACTCCAGATTGCTAAAGCCATTTTATCTCTTGAATACTTTAATTCATCTTGCTTTGCTTAGAAACAAGCTTGAAAGTTAATTTTAGGCACCAGAATCACATGCCGTGATGTGTTTTACAAGTCAGAGGGGAAAGAGAATTGTATTGAAATGAAAAACATTACAAAGAGGAATTTGCTGAACATTAAGAAAGCAGATAAAGCAGTAACAAAGCACAGTGCAGGGTATTGTAAGAAAATAAACAAAGTGCCTACAAGAAGCCCAGCAATAACAGTTCTAAATCATTTGCAGATATGAAGAGTTAACTGATACCCAAATCAACTCATATTTGTGTAATGCTTCTGAAAAGATTTTTCACCCTCAGAGTTGCAATGAAAAAACCTAACACCTGTGAGTTATTCCTGCTTGGTGTCAGCAAACTGTACCAATTAGGGACAAAAGAGGACCTCAAGTGGCAGAAAGTAGAGCTGCAGATTATATGAACTGCTTCAAAGCACTACTCATAAAACAGTTCAGCTCATTTTAATCTCCTTGTCCATGGACCCAGACTGTGTTCCCTGTTGAAGTGACAAGGTCTGTTCTCTAACACTTGCTCCACAAGTACATTGCTTTGACCCAAAGGTCCTTCTGTAACATCCTGCAAACCAATGCCATTTTACATACACGAGAGAAATCATGTTGCAGGGCTGTTGATACCTAAATTCTTACATTCCAGTTATAGGATTTTTTCAGCTTCAGTTTTCAATTTTACATTCTCTTCATTCATCAGGAGGCAACTCTAAGCAGCCAAGCTTGAGAGCATCTAAGAATGTCTTCCTGAGCCCTGGGAGTGCATCAAAAGAGCCAGCACCCCTTTCTGGGGCCACAAAGCTCCCCCACTAGCAGCAGAGGACCATGAACACTCTCAGAGCTCTATTCCAGTGAGACAGGTGGGAACTGGTTACCTGTACATTTAATCTGCAACAACTTGTTTTAATAACATCAAGTCTGGTTCAAAACCAAAGGGTGTGTCCAACTTTTGCTCAGCTTGTAGCTGCAATACTGTTTTTGAAAATGGGAAATAACAGTTTCGGGTTTTTCTTAGCCCAAGAGGTTTGAACTGCAGCTCCCAGGTTCTGGAGTGCTCTGTAGCAACACCAGAGTCACTGTGCCTGAGTCAAGGCAGGAAAATATATGTAAGGGAGACTGGAGTCTCCAGTCTGCTCTCAGTACTGTCAGAAGTTGCTCTGATATATGTTACCTGGAGTTCTTTTTGATTGCAAGGTACACACTGATAGGCCCCTGATGTACTGCTGCCTCTTCCTGCACATTCCTACAAACTTCAACAGACCTGCACAGAATTTCAGAGGATGGGATTTGGAGTACCACAGAATACATATTATTTAGAAGTCAGATATATGTAATCTAGACCTTTTAGCACAAGCAAAAGTTCAAACCTTTAGTAAATACTGCTTATTTAATACGTTATTTTCTTTACATGCCATCTCTGAATGCATAAAGATATCCACAAACTTCTTCTCTCATAACATACTTTCTTATGAAAGCTGAGATGAAGAAAGTGTGATTAGAAAACTAAAAGATTAGTCACACACCCCTGCAGCAGGACCTGTTCTAGCACATTTCTGTCATAGTTTGAAACAATGATTGTGACTTAGATATATAATGCACATTTTCCTAAACCACTTAAATATCAAGGGATTAGATCAGTGTGTGGATGTAAGGACAAATAAAGTTTAGTTTTAGCTTTCCAATTCTAACCACAGGTATAGAAGAAGTATACAAACTGTTTGTAGTCATGTTTTTTCTTAATCATTTTGATAAAATAATGCAAATGTCAACAAATATTAGCTACTAATTACATACATTAAACTACACAAGCTACTTAGAAGAAAAGAATACTCAAATTGAAGATTTTTTTCACTGTCAACATAAACCTTCCTAATAGGGTGGGCATGTCTAAATCCTGTAAAAATCCATCAAAGTATGCTCAGAGACTTTGAAGATTGCATACAGATATGATTCATAATCTGATCTGTTATGTAAGTCATGTTATGCTGTCTGGCTTCTTGAAAAATATCCTCATCCTATTTTTTAATTGTTAAAAAATTAGGAGTTTTCAAGCTTTTTGTACTTACATGTATTGTCTCTTGTGTTTCACATTAATAATCTGCTCACATTACAAGGTATTTGCAGAGACAGCCTGTGGAGAATGTTAAATAATGTGGCAAGATAATGTTAAGTGTTCTACAGACTATGAAAAGGCAAACCTGTGGCTGGACATGCATCACAGCTAGCATGAGAGCATGCTGAAAATAAATGAGGATACTCAGAGCACTGTGCAGTGTTGGTGCCAGTGCCAGCTGCTTCTGCAAGCTGGGAGAAAGAAGAGACAAGGGCTACTGGTATTTGCAGAAGAAAACTGCTAAAAGTGCAAGAAAGTAATTTATATCTCTCCACAACATCACGTATCCTGTCTCGCTGGGGAGTCACACAAAGAGCAAGTTCAGAGGGCTTGTAAAGACACACAAAGCACCCATAGGTAAGAAATTAGTTCAACAATGTCTGGTTAATTGTCAGTTACATCAGAGATGATGAATACATAACCACTGAGACTTTTAAATGGCTTTCAGATATCCTCTGTCCACAAAGGCCAGTGACCAGTTTCTCTCTCAGAAACACAGCTCTAAAAACAAGGGAGCAAAATGATAGATGATCAGAACAGAGCAACAAGTGTGGTGCTGGCAGCAATTACCTGCCTCCATAGAACAAGAAACTATGGGTAAAAACTCATCCTGTATTTGCTTACATAGAAAAACAATCAAATTGAGTATGCTCAAGCTCTTCTTAAAAGTATATGGTAAAGAATTAGAGAGAGAGAAAAAATCCATCCTCTCTCCTGCAACATATCCTATTCCTCTTAGTTATGGTATGCTTAGATATGACTGGAAAGAGACACAGTATTAAATCTCAACATCAAAAATGTGGTTTCCAAACTGAATGTGTCACTTAAATTATCTAACATGCTTCTCACAAGCAGGAAACATCCTTTGGACAGCATTGAAGATGTCCTCATTGTTAAAGGGAAGCTCTGCACATATACTGATGGATCAGGAGCTAAATATAACATACATTGCCAAGAGACCCTGAGAAGACACAACATTTTACATTGTGTCACATGTGCATGGCATGACAGGGAATTCACTGCCTAGGTCAAAAAAGCAACACCTCTATTCAAGTGCTACAGAAGTGTAGTGCTAGAAAAGAAACAAAGCTTTCCCCCCGCCCCTTTATTACAGTTCATTTTTAAGTAAAAGTTACCACCAACTTTTCTCCCTTCTCAGAAACCTTGTTATGTTAAGCATGATTGTTCTTAATTCTTCATCAGTGTGTTCATGCAGGTGTCTCATAACCATCATTACTCAGAGGTACTCTGCTCTTCCCTTTGTAAAGGCATTGAAGTGTCTAATGTCCAGTTAATAAAATGAAGTCTATAAAAGTCACCTCTTTTTCTCCAGCACTATGGACATCAATTATCTGCAAATTGTTGTAAAACTCATTGAAGAATAAAATGTAGAATAGCAGCAGATGTAAATACTGTTTGAGTCAAAAAGGTGCACACTTCAAACACATACTTACTGCATAATTCCCAATTAAAAAGTACACTAGTTCCATTCCTATTTTGAAAAGCCCTAGGTCAATCTTTTTATTGCAGTAGCAGCAATAGAACTCTGAAACGTCATGATACATGATACCTTCACAAAAGCTGAAGAAGTTGTAGCCAAAACAAGTTCCCACCCTTGCTCTGTGGCATACAAAGCAGGTATCTGGCCAACCAGTTTATCAAAATGTGTGCATCTTCCCCCCCTCACAGTGATGGCAGCTCATTCAAGAAGCAAGTCCCCAGCTATTACATAGACATTCACAGTGTTGTGCAGCATGGGAGTTGCTCAGCCTTAAACAGTGTAGTCTTTTTGGCTGTCAATTCAGTTTCAAGCAACAAATCTTTCTTGTTGGTCTGAATAATAATCTTATTTTCTTGCTTTAATTTGTCCGTTTAAAATATTTAGGTGTGCTCATATGAAAGTGGTGAATAGGCACATAATTATGTCCATCTTTATAAGATCCAAACCTAAAAAAAATATTCAACAGAGCAACACTATTACTATCACATGCAATTAAATAATACAATCCTACTCTACTTCTGAATGTTCTAGGCAATTTATTTCAGAAATAGGGCCCAACTCTATTAAATGTACATCAGGTTCTATGAACCCTCTCCTGCTAAAGGTCTTTGAGTATATTGGAGACAATTAATTACATTGATTCTGCTCATGCTATAGGCAGTCTATAATTGGAACTCCAGATGAAAAAGCTGAGTGTTGCATTTATCTGCTTAAATTTTTAGTCCTAAGTTTTTAGTCCTGATTTTAGTGGAGATACAATTTAAACACCCATTGTATCAAAACAGTGAACTCTGTTATAAATACTGTACTTCTTGCTTTTGCAAATAATGATGAAAATTTAAAATTTTTCAGGCCAAATTTAAATATGAAAGTTTTGACAACTGACTATTATGCTAGACAGACTTGCAAAGGTAAAATGGAGTACTTATTCAAAATATCAGTGCTAAATAATATTTAAGAGCAATGCCATTGTGTTGCTAAAGAAGTAGAGTTAATCAGAAAAAGTTAAATACATTCCAATAGGGTAAACATTTTCTGATTATAGGCAGACAAAAGAAATTAGGACAAGATTCTGTGCTGAAGTCAACTGAGAAAAATCTGAACATGAACGGTAACTGTAGGCAAGTTCCATCATGTGGAAAAGTCTGGGCAAACCCCTGCTTAGACAGGAAGCAGTGGTTGAGTGGTACATAAAAAGTGACTACACTCCACTGTCAGATGTATATGAGAAAGTAATATAATCTGCATTATGCATGTTAGGAGTAGTAAATGTGGCATTACTGGGAATTATTCTCTTTCTGGCAACATCTGTCACTAACTTCATGACTCTTTCACTACTAATACTTAACACAAGAATAAATATCTTCCTCTATGTATCTCTTCCTTATGAAATACCAGTGGGAAAATTATGGCAATTTAGAAATAAATTACTCTTTTGCATTAAACCTAGTCCTTTTATTTCCTTCTTGACACATGCAACATACTGTCTCAGGCATTCTTTTTAATTTTTGCTCCAATTATACGGTATGTTTTAAAATGCTTATGCAAAAAGTATTTAATGTATATATTGTATTTGATATTCTAAGTAACAGTATATTAAGAGCCCAATCTCCAGAGTGCTGAGAAAACATGGGAGACCTTTCATCATCTATCAAATGAGTCACCACACCACTTGGCAAATATCCCTGTCAACCATCTCAGGAACTGCCTGGGTGAAATGAGCATTATTTGCAATTTATGCTGCGACACAACAGACTGATTTTCCCAGGGCATATGCCAAAACAACCGAAAAAATGGAATTACAAATCAGAAGTTCTTGACTTCTACCCTTCTGCTCAGTTGGGTACTGATCAGCGTCTCTCATTTCAGAAATAATTTTGTTCCTAGACTTCTCTTTTACCTGCCAGGTACATCATCCCCTTCATTTCCTATGAGACACACTGACCTGGGGTTGAAATGGATGTCCTCAGGAACTTGGCTGGGATCAGTGACAATTCTGTCATTGTCAACATAGCTATCCACGTGATCTGGGATTCTAAATTTGGCCATCTGGACTTCTGAATCACTTAAACCAGCATGAGATATGCGGGCATAACCCAGCCTGTCAAATATGAGAAGAGTTAGTTTGAAGAAATAACCCAAGACAATTTCACCCCATTCTTAATGAATGTATCTTTTTTTTCCAAGAGTTATGCTTTGACTTATCAACACAATTTTCCATTTCTGTGAATCTCACCTTCAAAAACTGAAAGTGCTCCACAAACAGGATCATAATACCATGTCACAAGCATAAAAACTGAAAAAAAATGTGTTTGACAGTAAAAATAATGTCTATGTCTAAAAACCTTTTTTAAAAATTACAGCTTTAGAATGTGAGTAAATTTTCACTGAAAAGATTTCAATATTCAAGAAAGAAACTCAAGTATCAATTGAATGAATAATGAGAAAAATTCAAATTGCAAATAGAGTGTTAATTGAGGTTTTTTAGTTGCCTTTTTTTCTTTTTTACCCAATACTGTTAAGACAGCTATCAATTTTACTTCCTGTCAACACTGCAGAATTTGCAGTTTATTCAAAAGAAGATGAAGTCCATATTGGTACAAAGATCACCAAGAGAATGATTTACAAGCAATTTGGGATTAAAAGATATGAAATGCATAAGTCTAGTGCCTCATTATGGGTTTACACAGTTCAAGTTTCCGCTAAATCCAGCATAAAGATTGGCTGGATTAGATCAGCATTTTGCTTCAGCTAACCCTAAAGCGTAGTTCAAAATTTGTATCTTCTGTGTCACATACAAATTAGGTCTTAGCCTTCACATTTTAGAATGAAGATGCAAAGCTAGAGCTTTGGAAAAATGTAGTTTTATGCTACCAAAGAAGAGTAGATCTGAATGTAATTCTGACACAGAATGATGAAACCTGTAATAGTGTCTTTGTGAATTATATTCAGAGTTCTTGTGAACTGGTGAATTATATTCACCAGTTCTTGTGACCCTAAGATGAATGTTTCACATAATTTTATGATAGATCCAACTGCCCATAATAATTGTTTAGAGATGTAAGACTCCTCCAAAATCACTTACAAAAGATTATAAAACTGATAACCATAAAGATACTTGAACCAACAAATAGGTGATTCCCTTTAACATACCTTATGACTCCACGATACATAATGTAGCTACACCATCTGTCCCGGTCTGTACTGTCAATGTCCTAGAGGGGTAGTGAAAGAGAAAAAAAAAAAAGTCAAACAAATAAGGTAAGTGTTCATCTGGGTAGGCTTTAAAGCAGTAACAGAACCAAAGTGTAAACTCACTGCAGAAAAATATTTTGCCTAAAACATTGTACTAAGGTAGAAAGAAAAAAGCTCACTGTTAGACATGGACAAATCAGACAACTTTCTGGGTATCTCTTAATGCAGAGTTCATGTTTAATACAAAAGAATCACGGAATTAGAGGCTATCTGGAGGTCTCCTACTCCTAACCTTGGTCAAAATAACTTCAGACAGGTTGCTCAGGGCCTTATGCAGCTAACTTCTGAATATCCCCAAGGATGAAGGTTTCAAAACTTCACCAGCTCCCTGTTCTAATCCTTGAAAACCCTGTGACTTTCTATTTCTTCTAAGTGACATTTCTCTTGGAGCAGCTGCTGTCCATTGCCTCTTGTTCTTTCACTGTGTAACTCCACCTTCTCTGCAAGATATCATGAGGTAGCTAAAGATTATATCTGAAAATGGGCATGTGTTTTCTTCTCTGTCTATAGCTAAGTTACCAATTTGAAATATTAAACTGAGTGTTTGCAATATATATATATTCTCTAGAGATGCAGTATTTTTATATTACCTGCACATTTCCATTTTTTATTAATTCAGAATAGTCTCTGGATCCAGGTGCTGAAGTGATGTATCCTAGAAACACAACTTGCTTAGAGCTAGTCTTCAACAGGTTTGAAACAGCGATTGCTTGGAGTTTTCTGTCCAAGTCCTCTCTAAAAGAAATGGAAAAGACTTTAAGACATACACATTTTAGCTCACAATCTTTGTGCTATGACATAGTAAACCTCAAATCAATCTGGTACTATTTTTCTTTCTCAATATTAGAGAGTATGAAAGTTGTCAAAAAGCTCATTGATTCAAAATTATCACTACATTTGATAAAAGCCACATGGTCATGTTAGATGTAATTCACATTCTCTTTCTATCCATTACAGGAACAACATTGTCTATGACTGTTCTGTTTTTAATACTGATACCATCACTAGGAAATGTGAATGTTAGTGTTTTGGTTATCTAAGGCTTTGTCTCTGCTTGCACTTAAAATTTAACTGTGCTAGCACAATGGGGTGCGTAACAAAGAACTTACATGCTAAGAAAATTTTATTACGGATAGATCATAGTAAATAAAGTCTTAAAGTCTGGGTCCCATAATTTATGAAATGTAACTAGAGTTACATCATCCCATTAGCACTACTTAATTACATTTGGCATGTATTTCACATCTCTTTAATAAGATTTACACAAGAGCTCCAACATGACCGAAAGTGATAGTGAAGTAAGTGGTAAAATACTTCATTGGACCTCATGCCCTGTCCTTGGATTTGTCATAAAATAATGAAAAAGCAGTTCTCTTTCTATGATTCTTCATATTAATGACTTTAAATGGTTGTGTAAATCAAGTTGTCTTCTAGATTTTGATAGTCTGGGCTAACAGTAAAATCATTGACAGAGAGAGCTGATTTTGGAACCCGTAAATCCTGAAGAAGACAACAATTTAAGTGCAGCTGTGCTTTCTAAATAGTGGTACTTCTGGCTGAAGCAACTGTACTAGGGAGAAAGAGCACACAGGCAGGAGACAAAAAACCCCCCAACACTTAAGTAGAAGTGTGACCTAGGTGTATGTGAAGTTGTCTGCTCAGCTAGCTGCTCTTTCCAGAATGCATCTCTCCAGAAGATGGGATCTTTTAAAGGCACAGGCATAGTTATAGTCCCACATTTTAAAAATCCTATTTAAAAACAACCTTACCCTAGTTATCTAGTATTCTATAGTCTATGTCAATGTAAGCAGCAGAATAAAAAATATTAAAAATGAGCAGTTATGTGCAGTATTTAGCTACAAACTCATTCCCCTCTAAAACACAATCTAATTTGCACTTATTTCCCATGTGTCTCCTCAAATTTTCTCTCTCATCATTATCTCATTTCTTTGCAAGGGTATAATACAATGTTATTTTCTTTTACTTTGACAAACAGTTTCTCAGACAGGCAAGTCTAATCATCTGTGTGAGGCACAGAATTAAATTCTGTTCTAGAGTTAAAATTGGGAGTGATTTTTGACAATTATATTTGTTTAATAAATGGGAAATCTATAAACAATTTGCAGGTTTCGTGCAGTTTCTACTCAGGGGAAGGAAATGGGATACAGAGAATTCCTTTGGCTTTCTAAGCAGCTTCTTTGTGTTATAATATTCTGCATCCTATCCATAAATTTGATGCTCCATTAATTGTAAGAATTTTTTTTAATTCCAGATTTTACTACATAGCCACAAACATACTAGATATCCCATCAAATATAACAGAACAAATATAACAGAAATAGCAGCTACATGGAGTATTCACAAAACTGTTTCTTACTAATATTCATTACACACAGGTAATCAAAACATTGTTTTCAAGAACTGAAATATATACCTTATTCTTTTCCATCACTTATTTGATTTATTGGTATAATATTGCTTTTCTGAATTCAGAGATCAGACTTTCCATTTGCATACTCTCAGAAAGACACTGAAGGATATTTTTGCTGTTGTTTCAACCCTGTCCTTTCTTGGAGGTTTCAGATGTTACTTAAAAAAAAAAAAAAACCAGTTTTCTATTAATGGTACCTATCTCTAACTGTACCTCTCTGCACTCATTGTGGAATGTAATACATCTATTCCACATGCAAAAAGTCAGAAGGATGCTGTCTTGCACTGAGATGCATCTGTAGCCCTATAATTTGTTGTGACTTTGCAGAACTGTATCTTTAAATCCCTAGTAATTCAGATAGTAGGTTCAGCTGAGTTTTGCATGATACCTTAAAAAATGCTTCAAAATTTTAAACCAGCAGTTTAACCAATTTTAAACTGTCATAGTATTTCTTCAAATGTGCCCTGCCAGAACCAGTATTACAGCAGCAGATTTTAAAGAGTACAAAATAAATCCTGGAAGTTCACAAATTACATTACATGTCTTTGTACACTCTATGTAAAATAAGTGGAATACACACTCTTCATTTCCGAAGTGAGCAACAACAAAATCAACCAGCTTCCCTGTGAAGTTGACAGTCAGGGAGATGGCAGGTGCAATCTCTCCCTCTGGAGATGGAAGGAGGTGATGGGTCGATTTTACAATTGGATACCTGGACAGTGCCATAATCCTACATGAGGAGAGGTTAAAAGTTACATTTTGTGATTCACAGGCATCAGAGGTGTGTAAGCAGATAAATGCTAAAAAAAAATCTAACAGTCACTGAAATACAAAACTGTAAGACAGAATACAAACCATGTCTAGTGGATTTTTCTGAATAAAGAAAGTTTCCTTCTAAAATACTGCTTAACTACATGTCTAAAAATATATTATCAAGTTAATTCCTATGCTAAGAAATATATTTCTATAAATATTAATTCTTTCACTAAGCTTTTCATGATCTGTATTTCATAAAAAAACAGAATTTTATGCTACCAGAAAATAAAAGGTATTTTATTTAAAGTAGAAGTAGGTAGAAACATATCTTTAAAATGAGAGATTTCTCTTTTTTCAGCTTCTGTTTGGATATTTTGCACCAGGTTTTTCAATGTATTTCATTAATAAAATCTCAGAGAATGACTTCTTTCCCCCATTCTGTCTCAAATAGACAGTGTCTGGAAGAAGAAAGTTACAAAATGCCCCTCACATATGGCAAAAATTAAATAGCCATAGCAACATAGTAGGAAGTTCTATCTGCCATAGAGATGTGTATATCCCCCTGAAAATAAAAAGACACATTTTATGCCAGTATTTTATTTTTCTGGAGGACAAAGATGTTTAAAGATATACAACTCGTAGGTGGTCAAGCATTAAGGTAAAATTAGACACAAAATATCTGTCAAACAGACATGCACCTTTCTATTCCCATTTCCCATTACACAGCCCAAGCTAGATATGAATTCAAAATTTCTCATACCTCCTACATTAAATCAAAATTTCTTATACATCCTGATGTGCTACATTTTCCAACTGCTGTCACATTTTTAAGTCTGCAACATAAAATTCTCATAGCCCAAAACAAAATAATGTGAAAAAGGCATCAGATGCAGCACTTGGAATGCTAAACTTCCAAATCTGTACATTAAAGGGTAGGATGCATCACCAAAACCAAAGCAGCTTATGAGGGCAGGCACCAAAATCTGATCATGTTTAGCAATGAGAACAATCCATCCACATGGCATGGTACTGCTAATGAATCAAAGCCTGTTGCTAAAGGACAAGCTTCAACAAGTGATTATAGTGAGCACTATTCCAACTATTCTTTGCTTCTGTATTAGTGCAGTTTGCATTGGGCAATATATTTACATCCATTTACTGTTGCTGTGCATGTGAAGGTGACTCACCCCCAGGTGTGATCTCTTGTGCTTGGACCAAAATCAGTGTAAAATCCCAGTCTTTCTCCTAGCCACATGGTTGGATCATGGTTTCCAATGAATGGTTTAGAGGCATCACTCTCTATAATAGTGATAAAATCTGCTCCTAGGATGGAAGGGAAAAAAAGAAAATAATTTCACATTTATAACTGCTACCTATAAATGGGACTTATAAATAAGTACATAATGTCATTATTTTGGTTACAGACGGATGGACACAAGCCCTTCAGGAGTCAGTCAAGGCAAATCAATGCTGGCAACAAAGTCATGCCCAGACTTTTGGCTACTGGAGGCCACACAAACTCTGATGAAGATGCACTTAGTGTCTGCTGGCCATGGTTCATCCCTGGTGCATAACCAGAGACACCAGACTGCAGAATACAGCTGGCTTGAGCAGACCTCATGCCATTTCTAAAGCATTAGAGACACTGTGCACTCACAAATTAACAGCACAGTAGCAAGTCTACTGCTTTCAATTTCATAAACAAACATTACACAGCACACCTGCATTTCCCTTCATCTACCAAATCCTATTGTGCTTCAAAAGGTCCTGTGCAAGACACAGCTGGATGCTGTTACCAAAATAATTATTCAGCCCAGAGCAACCTTGCATCAGCCCCAAGGCATGGTAACAGAAGGGTCTGCAGCTCCAGTGAATTGCTGACCACCTGCAGCCACCTCACTTTCTCAAAGCACTGCAGTCCCTCCCTGTTTACATGCAGAGGTGTGGTTTTGCCAGGGGAACACGATGGGTTCCTCTACATTTTAACTGCATGGTACAGGGGAGCTGTGCAGTTCCTTGAGGAGCTGGCATCTAGGAAACACCTGCCCGTGCCTGAAGGAAGGTGGGAGCTGCAAGCTGCCCACAGGAGGGCTGAACTATTCAGACAGCTTGAGCAGCAGGTCAGTATAAGTGCAGCACTAACAAGTGATCCAAGGGCTCCCTTCTTGCTGCAATTATGCCTCTCTTACAGTGCTCCCCTACACAGGAAGGCAAATCAAGTCACCATCTCATCCACAGCCCTTCCATAAGGAATTATGACCATCCAGCACCACAGAAGACTTTTGCTTTTGAAATATAATATGCAGGAGTGTGTAAAGCATTGTCAGCAGAGAAAATGGGAATGCAGAGTTTTTTAATGAATTCCCAGGTTTTTCCTTCTACATCATTAGCATACATGCTGATCACAGAAACAGTAACTGAAACCATTAAGAAGGGCTGATGTCGGATCCCTTCAGGGCAGACAGAAATTCCAGTGACAAAAGCCATTATATGTTGCATCTTCACTACTCCAACAGAGAGGTGAGCCCAAGAAATGCACTCCACCACACTTTTGAAGACAACTTCTACCCTAAAGCAGATAGCCACTCTTTTCTCTATGGCTCTCAAAATCAGAAACTCTTCTTATAGGAATTTCTAGACAAACTCTGAATGCATTTACTGACAATGTTAATATAGTATTTTATATAACAATATGCATGTAAGATAAAACTCCAGAATACCACCTATTAGAAATTTTTTCCACCTATTTCCACCTATTAGAAATTATGATTTATTTTTTATATTTTGGAATTTGCTGCCGTTTTGACTTACCAATTGTCTCTTTTAGAAGTGATATTTTATTACCCTAAAGAAATGCCAATGGACATAACAAAGTAAGCACTTTTTCTAATATTCATTCATTTAAACTATAGGTACCAGAAATTAATGCATTCATCAAAATTTATAAATAAATATGCAAAGATTAAATAACCACCCAGACATGAACTATAGAATCAGTTATGTAGAAGAATGCTCCAAATTTCAATTTATTAAATGTCCTAGCTCTTTTCTTGTATCACCAGATAGCCAACATAGCCCAGCTCTCTGAACCTTTGGTCATGGGACAAGGGAGTGAACAAGGTTAAAATCAGTCTCTTCACTCTTCACTAACTCCTGTGTATCTCTGCCACAAAATCAAGACTTGCACAGGAGCACTTTGTCATTGCTTGGGTCTGTAAAGCCTGAGTTCCTCAGGAAAATACTGTGGTGGACCAGAGAGCAGCAAATGCTGGAATGGCAGCAGGGGCATTTCCTAATTCCCTGAACTGCTTTAGATGTTAAACTGTCAGTCCCCTGTCTGCGCTATCTCATGGGCACTGCAGGAAAAGAGCAACACCTACAAGCACTCCTGGCCAATTCCTTTCAATGCTCTCTGCAACAGCACTCATCTTGAATCCAAATCCTTCATTTCCTATAGCTAATTTTCCAACCAAAATCCTGCCCATGAGCAACAGTTTAGATGCTCTTCTTTAGAGTGAAATCCTGACAACCAAGCTACAATCACTACTTTTCTTGTATACATTGCACTGGTTCAGTGATGGAAACAGACTTGTCTGTTTCTTCTCTGTACTCATTGTTAAGGGCATTTGAATTTCACATCCTTTAGGAATTATATAATGGTTCACATTTAAAAAAAAAAACACATAGAGTTATAAAACGTTGTATTTTATGTAAAAGTATATTTACCTTTGTAAATACCACTGTATTTTATCTAAAAGGGTATTATTTCATTTATGCAAAGAATTTCTCTATAGACAAGTAACTCATCAGCAGCATGAGATGAAAAATCCAAATAAGAAATATAATACTTCCTCTAATCAGAAACCTCTTTAAAAATATTAAACAAATTATCACCTCTGCAAATGGGTTTTTGACTGAAGTGATTATATTGGAACAGTTCAGAAATTGAGGAGAAAACCACTGAACAGGTTCTTGTGTTAATGTGAAAATGGCCTCAGTTACCAAGGTGTTTTCACTTGTCTCTTCAGATGAATCCTCCCAAATATAAATGAAGCACGGAAAAAACGAGTTACCTGTCTGATTAAGCAAATTAGCGGATCCTTCCAAATTAGACCATCCTTCATTGTCATATCCAAATCTAAAAGGCCAGATCATGGCAGAGAAATCTCTTTTTGGAACCTCAAAAAATAAATGGAAAAAAATAAAATAAAGTTTGAATTTTTACATTTTACACCTTTGCAGTAAACGCCATCAGACACATGGTGCCATAAAAGACATACAAGAAGAGATGTTTTACCCAACATATTTTCCTAATAAAGCTGTCATAATCATAAAAGACTAAATCTGCTATTAAAAAGGGAATACAAGTCATCATACTTCAAATGAATTTGTACAAATGAAGAGGAGAGAGATAATGCATTTTTTCATCTTTCTAAGAGGAACTGACCACATTTTACCACACAATAAGGCAAAACTTGAATTAATTGAAAAAAGGCCAACCATATAAATCTGTGTGCATTTGTGAATCTAACACTGAACTCCATGACTGTTAACCATCTTGTTATTTATTACCTTTGCAATACCTTTTCTTGCAAGACAGAAAACTGGAATCTTCAAATTTTTTATCCAATTTCCATACCTAGACTAAGTCTAATCCATGTCAACCAACTTTTCAGAGAGCTTCAATTCAGAGTTATGATATAGTATAGAACCCTGGAATTCCTTCACCTTGAAGAAACCTCAGGAAGTTATATGTTCAAACTCCTCCTTCAGGAGATCAGGAGGCTAACAGCATTGTCCAGTTTGAATACCATTCAAATAAACTAATTTATAAAAGTAATGTTCAAATTGAACATATGAGACATGAATCTCTCAAATTTTCAAAATATTTTTCCTTCATAGCATGACTATAAATCTCCAAAGACACAGACATTTCAATTTGACATGAATTCATAAATTAAATTTTTGCATCTTCATTTATGCATTAGTTTTTCTGACTACTTGGTCGCAAAGATCTCTTCAGCCACAGTTAACACACCCAAGCTACTACACACACATTTTATTGTATATTTGAAAGTTACCATTGTCACAAACACCCTACTCACCCCTTGGCCCAACTTCTTCTGGTAAGTTTTATAACGTAAACCCAATCCAAGCAAGCCAACACCAACAAGCAGCCACAATACTTGAAATAGAAAAACAGAGAAAAATGGTTTTAATTTGAGAAAAAATAATGTTTATATTGCTGTTAACCAGGGCACTTACTCTAAGGTGTGCTATTCACAGAATGAGAAACGTGTCCACTTAAGTGACAGCACCAGATCAAGGCAGGATCTATGCATGCATGCAGAATGTGTATATATGTGCAAATACACTCTCCAAAACACAACATGCTGAGCAGATAAAATGTACCAAAATCCTTGGGATAGTTATGTAAAAATTACAGCTACTGAAGAATTCATTATAGAACATAAATAAGAGCATCATGTAAACCCTTCAGTGTTTTCCTCCCTCTGTGCAAGCATGCATTTGTAGTACACAATAGTACACAATGGGCTTACAGAGTGCCCATTTGTTTGACATACTCTTGGAAAGACAGAGCAGCTTCATAGAAAGCATGTTCAGAGCTTTCTAATTGCTCCTGTAACATTACAAATAACCACAGTGTGCACTTAAGAGCTCTCACCATTCAGCATGATTTAATTTGATGATCAAAGCCCTTTGCATTTATTTCATTTACACAGTGGCATATGCTATCTACAATGATTTCAGTAACTCCAGTTTGCTCTTTTATATATTTAAAAATATATTAAATTATTTTAATGCAAGTTTCCTGGAATGGTTTTGTGTAAAATTTAAATACATTTTATAATGGAAGATGTCAGGAAGAAGGACATGCTGCTTATATTAGCACAGATCAAGCAATTTCATACTCTGCAAGACACAAAGGTGCTTAGAGTGGAAGCTGAGAAACAGTACAAGTGTGGGCATGATGAGGAAGTACAAGAGGCACTGTTGCAACATTACAAGGTTAGCTGAGCAAGAGCTGTTCTTTGTGACAGGTAGCATTTGGAAATATTAATTTACTTTTGTGAAATGTTTCTTAGCGGTAATATTCAAACCACTTGAAATGGTGCTCATGTCTCTGACACACAAACTCTCACAGGCCACATTCTTTTGGCTCCTGAGCATACAGGGTAAAGATCTCCATAAAGATTCCAGAAATAGCTCTGAAAAACTGTGTAGCACTATTGTCTTATTTTTCCAAATGCAGCAAAATGTACACAAATGGCAGGCGATTTGATCCAAAGTCACAGAAGAAAAGGTGCAGGAATTGCAATCTTCAGCATCCTGATCTCTGTAGGGTTACCATGCCCTCATGCCTGGCATTTTGTTCCTCTACCAAACTTCATGCTACTGACAGGCATTTTTCTTTAGAAACAGTAAGCTGACAATGAAAACAAATCAGGCACTCAAATGATTGTAGAGAAATAGTTTGAAAAATTTGTATTCTTCAAAAGCCAAAAAGTTATAAAACCTCAAACATTTGATTTTCATTTCTCTTCAAAACCTAAGGAAAAAAGGAAACCCCATACATATAATCTGAAAATCTGGGATCCCTAGGTATAGTTGAGGGACAGGCCTGGTCTGAACACACAGCCAGCCCCAAGCATTGTGCTGTGCTGCTGGCCACAGCAGGCCCTGCAGGACAGCCTCCTCATGCAGGACAGTGCCACACAGCTCAGGGCCAGCCAGTGCCACCACCCTGCCAGCCAGCTCACACAGCCCTGGCAGTGCTGTCACACCAAACCGCCTCAAATCACCATACTTGCATGGCTGGGGAACCATTCACAGCTTCTGTACACACCATGTCCATCCCAAGGTCCAGAGAGGCCTCCTCCTCAACCACTGAAACAAAACCACCCATGATGATGAATCCACTTTCACATTTTGGTTTTTGCCCAGTTTCTTGTCTCTGTTTCATATATTCCATGAGGAATAGCCTCTATCAGTCATAATCTCAGTGAGTCAGCTCCTTCAGTAGTATATGCCATCATTAACCTGGAACTGGGGAAATACCAGCCACCAGTCTGTCTCTAAAACTAGCACCAAAAAACCATTTCTAGAACACTGTGAGAAAATACTCCATAGCACTACTTTTTTTCCTCAAACACTATTTGTAGAGTCATGGAGAAAAGGAACTAAAATTATACTTACATACTTTAATATAGTTTTTACTCCTTTTGAAGAATGGTTTTTGGTTGCTTTTCACTTCAAAGACAGAGCTAAGGTCTTTCTTGGGTCCTGTTAGAAATTCTATCCCAATACATAACATTATAAAACCTGTAAAATTACAAGTGATTAGTTTAACATATTAAACATTGCTCATAAACACTTTTTGTAAACTCCCAGCTGTTGTGTTACAACATAACAACCTTATGGTTCCAACAACAAAGAAGATTCAAAGCAAAATGCACATAAATGCCATAGCTAATAAGGCAATGCAGGAACTATGAGATTTATTGGCAACACTCTCAAGCAGAGTGATTTGCAGTGCAGTTACAGGGTATTATGTCAAAAAGACTAACACATGACTGATAAAATATGCTAAAATCCTTCCAGGCCCTAATGATGGCTACAACTCTCAGCTGAGCCCACTGTTTTCAAAGTTTACTGGAATTAACCTGCAAGAACAATTGAGTTACTCCTACATATTATAGAACCTTAAAATAACAGCTTGATGAAAAAAGTACATTGATGATTGCACATACCTATTATCTTTGACAATGAACTGCTCTGTCACCAAGATAAAATTAACACATTTTTCATATGGGAACTACCAAAGCAATTGCTCAGCACTTTGTTATTAAACAGGGTAAGCAGACTGCTGCAGTCCATTTAACATGGCAGCACCTTGTATTCTGGAACTCCAGAGCCAACAAAACTAGTTCTGCTTTTTAGGAGCAGAAAACTAAACACACCTACAGATACATTTTAAAAGCTAGTAAGCAACTTCAGTGCACTAACTGATGCAATGGGTGGGGATAGTATCTTTTCAATTAGTAGCTCAGACTAATACACAAGGTCTTTTCCAATCCCTAATGAGATAAAGAATCCAATTACTTACAAAAAAAAACATGGGAGGATAATGAACTGGATAAGAGCTCTGCTGGAGAAGATATATGCCCTTAATATCTTTGTGGCATAGTTAATTAATTATAGAAGCCATATTTTACTTTAGAGTAATAGCTAAGTGTTGCTCAGTACTTTTTTTATTTCCCTTACTTGTTACATTAGGTGTAGTGAAAGTTTGAAAACCAGGACACTGGGTCTGCACAACGAAGGGGAAGGCGCAAAACCTTTCTCAAAGGGTGATTGATTCACAGCCATAAAGTTGACAGAGATCAGGAATCTGACCCCTCAGCATTATATCACATCACAGTGAAGCAGCACAGGAGTTTTGAATTTAATGATCTTACTTTCATTGTCACTTTTCATGGTGCAGTTCCCTACCCAAACTGCAGCAAGAGAAAGGCAGGATATTGGACAGGAGAAGAAAGCAAGAAATAGCACTTGCACCTGGAAGAAACCAGAAGAAAATGAGCAGTTTGCCAGAAAGCCAAGCTCTAAGAGTAAAAGCACAGCAACAAATACCTAGTCTCATGGTATAATCTTTGATAAGCTATGGGATGGCATAAAAAAGATAGAAAATGCATTCCCAGATGGAAGTTAAATTCATGCAGTGCCATCAGCTGAGATGTGTTCCATTTACAGTGTTCTTTTCCAAAGAGAAAATTAGGGCCATCTCTCTGTTACCACTCAGTGATCACACCAGGTAAATTAATCACAAGAGTGCATTTCAAAGGAAGTAACAGAGAGGAATTTTGAATAAAAGTATTTCTTTTGTGAAAGCATTACTCAAGAAAGCATTTGACACTCCTCTACCACATGCTTTCTTCATATAACTTCAAAAACAAAATTTAATTCCTAGGATAACTGTTTCTAAAGACTCCTCAGAGTGCTTTCAGAACAAAGAAAGTAATGCAATAATGGAATTAAATTCTCCTAAAACATAATGAACTTAAATCCCTCATGTGAATGCTGTAATATAAGAAACACACCTGAAGAGTAAGAAACTGGAGTGACACAAAATAGTTGCAATGACATTTATGAAATCTGAAACCTTTGGAGCAACAAGTTAAACCCAGCATTCATTAATCCTTTCCAAATAAAATATACTAATGCGTCACATTTTAAAAAACGTTCCACACAATGAGCCCAAGATCATGTTTGGCATTGTCAAATATAGTCAGTGAAATATGCCATTGAAACATGTTAGTACATATTGCAAAAATATTTCTGAAGACAAAACCAGGAAGGGTTGGTTTCCTTTCCACCTCTCCACCCTCATCAAGTCATCATTTTGCTAAAGCCCTTATATTTACTCAACTCAGTTTTTCCTGATTTGCAGCTACCTGACAGTTTTTTTTCTGCCTGTCCTGTTCTCATGTTTCTGCTGCTACAGGCTCATCTGAACGCCCCCAAACATGCTGGTGTGTCCACAAAACATAAGGTGGAGCCACAGGAGAAAGAAGCTCAGGTCTTCAGTGTAGACTAGCTAGATGAGCAGGGTGCTGCACTTGGCTCTGCAGAGCAGGGCTAAATAATGCACTGAACTACATTACAGTCCCAGTAGCTACCCTGTTACCTGAGGCACTGCTACCTTAGGTAACCAGCATATTTGTGCATTCACACCCTGGATTGCAGCCATATTTTTAAGGTGACTGGATAACAGATCTCTTCCTCCACTGCCTACTTTACTTATCAGACATTTTTCCACTTTGTCATTTTCCCTTAACTGAATTCCATTTCCTGTCCACATTTAGACTATTTCCAACAGAAAAGAAACAAGTAGAATATTTTTTGCATGTCTCATTAATTTTTGCACTGAAATTCTTACCACAGTAAGTAATTTAACAGTAACCAAGCATTTGAAAAGACTCTTTAAACACTAGATACATTTCACATGCCTGTCTGAGGCTAAAGCAAGCATATTTGTATTTGCTCATTATCACAAATGTACCTAGAAGAAGATGGGAGCTTTCTCTAATGTAAACTCCTCCGGGTACAAATTTATAAGCTGTACACCACACACAGAAGAACAATTCAAGAACGTAGGCAAACATGGCTGTGCTCATGGCTTTCCCAGGATGGGGACAGCTAACAAAGCATCCCGCTAGCTGAGGCCACACACACATAGTAAAGACCCCAAGAATGTTGCCTGCAACAGCAGCACTCCAGGTGTGTAAGTAAAGCAGACCAGCTGAAGATGCCAAACCTGTGAAGGGATAGAGAACAATACAGTAAGTCTCAGTCAGGTGTATTACCCACCACACTCATTTTCATATTTTGGCTAGTGAAAAAATAGTCTGGGAAATATAATGGTGCTTTCTAGGCTTAGAAATTGCATCACTAGGACAGGTATTCAGTAGTCTTTTATTTTTCCCAATATCTCATTCTTTTAAACATTGCCTATTCAGCTGAAAACAGTATAGCAAAAAGGGCAAAGAAATGTCATCAAGAGCCAAAACCAGTTTTTTCTTACAGAGTTCTTCAGCACAACAGAGGAGTGATGCAGCTCTTAAGAGAGTAACAGTTATAAATCTCTTTTACCGCAATACAGAAATAATCAAATAGATCAATATGAAGAGAAAACATATAATTTCCTGATCTTTCCCTGTAGATAACCACAGGATGGGCAAGAAAGCAACTATTAATCTTTTACTGACTGCAAGATCCTTGACTTACCATGCTATCTTTGATTTGGGGATTTGACTCTAAACAGAACACTAGCAACCACAGAACCTCTCTATAACAGGATGACTTCATTTTAAAACATTATTGTAGATATGAATATTTACTGTCACACCATGAAAGCAAATGTATAGAAACACTTTTAATATTTAACTTTAATACATCAAAGTTCTGAGCATTTTAGAATGCAATGCTTGAATCAACTAAAGAACCTTTCTGAGCCTATTTTAAATAAGCAATGTGTGTGCATCAAAAATCAAAAGTTCATCCTTACATTATAATCTTCACACACATTTCTTAACACTAAAACCTGCCTGTTCATACAATTTTACTGACTGCAGAACTTAGCAAGTAAAGATACAGGAGGCAAGCTTGTCTCCAGGTAGACTGCTTTTTAAATTATAAGTTGTTTTGCCTCCTGTGGAGTTGAGAGGCTTGTGTCCTCTGAACCACTAACCCTAGATGTGGCCTTATCATAGAAGCACTAAGGTTGGAAAAGACCGCTAAGATCATCAAGCCCAACTGTTACACAATGCAGGTGGTCAGAACTGAGATGCTGCTCAAGGGAACAGAAACTTAACAGGGCTTCTGAAGAAATAACTCTGCTCTGCAATGGCCTGGGGATTTGGCCTGTAACCCTCAGTCAGCTGGTGATATATGTGCACTACAGTCGTGGCAAGAGAAAAGGAGGCTTTGATTAACCACCCTTTTCTGAGATGTGGTGTCAGGTCAGAGGACTTGAGTAAAGGGAATAAGGTAACAGACAAAAATTCTGCTCAGGATTTGCACCTACCTATAAGAAACAAGGCAAAACTGATGATAGAAGACCAGCTCCAAAATGAAAGCATCAGTCCATGAGCAAGGCCCAACAGAACTGTACCTCTGATACAAATATAAGGAAAATCATGAACTAATACGATTTTTAAAACACCTGATATTTAAAAAAAACTTTCTAGATATACAGACAAGAGTTCTTGGTAATATATTATAATTATATTACTTTAAACAAAGCTAAATTTTGCTCACATCCAGCTGCATTTTCTTCCCTTTATTGGATGTAAAAAACATCCAGTTGAAAATAATGGCAATTTATTGTAATGTGTAAGTGAGCCATGTTCAGCAGCAAAGCAGTTCACTGAAATCTTGGTACAAAAGGCAAAAACAACTCAGAGAAAACAAAAGGGAAGAATCTACCCCAAACAGAAGTATTTTTTCATGTCAAATAAGGAATCCTAAAGAATCTAACACTGCTCTCAGTCTTGGGGAGCTCTTTTGTATACCTATTCCAAAACATAAACACTGTCAACTGCCATCGCATGTAGTTTACTCAGAACAACTAATTTGTTGTTCTTTCTAGATTTGGGAACCTGAATGAACCACACACAGTATTAAGGCTACATTTTTACTAATCAAAACTTCTTCTGAAGTATATATTTTACTAGTGCACACAGTTTATTTATACTTTGTGCATGTATCTCTGATCATCGCCTCTCTGAAGCCAACTGCTAGACTAATTTACTACATATTATAGGTGCACTGCATTCATAAGTCCTTGAACCTCAGTCCTAATCTAAAAATTGTTTTGAAATGTGGCAAACCAAGATTTTAGTGCTGAAATAAAAATAATTCTGTATCAGAAAATTTTCATGTCTGGACAAAATGCTCAGCAGTATCTCAAAGGAAGAATGAATTCTCTGTGTGAAGTACCTTGTACCCACTGGTTTCTGTCTTATACCATCATCAGGTTGAGTTTTAATTTGTAATCCACTACAGCACTGGATTTTCATTACAATTTTGTAATCATCATCATCATCATCATGCTCTTACCCATATGGATTAGGATCTGGACCTGTATGTGGATGTCCACTTACTGCCCATCTGGAAATTAGGGAAACCTCCCCAAATATCCACAGAGTGAGGAACATGAGGCTGCCAAAAGCAATCCCTGATAAAAACCAATGAGGATGGGAAGCAGTCTCTCTAATCACATTACCAGTTTTGTTTGTTTCTTGTTTCCTCTTGTCTCTACCTAGAATAAGAATAGAAATACAGCTAAGCAAACTGTCAAATCCTATTAGCAAGAGTTACAGAGAAAAAGAAACAGCCAAAATCACAAATTTACTAGAATAAATTACATACACAAAAGCTAATTTATCTGATTAGGATTGTGTTATCAGAAATTGATAATACAAAAAAAAATTCTTTACTAACAACCCCAGATCTGTCAAGAAAGTATATTCACCCTAAATGTTCAAAAATGCCAACCTGCCCATCTGATTATTTTCCATAAGAAATTTTAAATGTTTAAATTGGCTTTGAAAATCAGCAGAAAAGTTATTAGAATTTGTTCAGAGGCTTCTGTTCTCTGAAACTCTAAACTCTGATAAGAACAAAACCTGACACTTCCAAATAAGCCAGAAATAAACTCCCTTCCTTCTTTTTTCCATGTGCTTTAGAACCACTCTTACCTAAGGAGAAAGCAGCACCTTTAATTGCATAGACATATCATTTTGTCACCCACAAACAAGACAGATTTCCTTCCTAATCTCCTGCAGCAGACTCCCTTTCTAAATTCTGATGAAAGCTCAGGCTTAATTTAGATTGTGTAATGCAAGATTACAGACAATATGCATGATGCTAATTTATACCCACTTACACATAGATAAGGTTTTATCTTTCAATTAATTCATTAAGGTTACACTGAGAAGGAGGAAGGATATTGTGAGGATTTAACATGAGCTGCCTTAACTAACCAACCCAGCCTTGCTGTCTTCCTTGGCAATGCCACCTCCACAGTTTAGCCTATGCCAGCTCCCACTACTGTGTACTCTGTGCAAACACTCCAAGAACCTGGGCAAAGTGTAACTGGGACAACTTGTCCGCTCCTCCAATTCTTTCTATTTTCACATATCAGCTGTTCCCCAACTGTGTCTCCCCTTCTCAGTTAAAAGATATGTACTGGCAGAGAAACTCAAAGTGCAAACTGAATTAAAAAAATAACAAAAACACCAGAAATGTTTCATGCTGGAAAGACAATAATTCATTCTGATTTTATTGGTCTATCTTATGCCTTTGTTTGTGTTACTGTCATATTGTTGGCACTGCAATAAGGAAAAAGAGGCAGTTCTGGCACCAACTTACTACCACTTGTATGAATTGTGATACCAGTTCTGCCATATTATGGGCAGATGGAAGTACCCCACAACTTCTAAAACCAGCAATGCTCATGCAGCAGGTCTAAAACCAGATGGTGTTGGGGATAAAAGTCAAAGAATCAAAACCCAGTGACACATAGCTAGATATACTTTAGGCTCTTCTCATAACCACCATCTTTGCTGTAATATACTTACCTGAATGGATTTGCTCCACTGCTGCTATGAAACCAATTGTCAATATGACAGTATTGGCAACTTGTGAGCTCCAGGCTGGATTAAGGGATGTGTACCAGATACGAAGAACAAGGAGCATTATCTTGCCTAGCATGAAGCCCCATATCCTGATGAACCTGTAAGAATCAGTTTTTGAAATAGTGAGACATCTGGGGGATTAAACAAAAAAAGAAAACAGCTTTCAATATAAAAAAACATCAGTTAAATTCCATCAGTATAAGAAAATACCTTTGTAAACTGCTTCCTGACCACCATGTTACTGTTTGAACCAGCAATGAAGAAGAAACACCAGCAGCCAAGATGAGCAGTCTAATTGAAGCATTTGGTGCATGGTATGATGCTAAGCTTCCTGCAAACAAATACACACAGAGGTTACTTTAATGATCAATAGAGACCGGGTAATAAGGATTTCCTGTGCATTAGGTCAACATTTTCTGTAATTTGAGCAGCTATACCACTCATCTGAAAACACATGACACTACACATTTTTAAACCAACAAAAGAAATGTAGATATGCATACAAACCGGGTATACATGGTTTCATAGCAGTTATAATTTTCAAGGAAAAATTTTATATAAAGAAATTATCCAACAGTCCAAGTGATTGCCTTTTTTTAAGTACTTATGGTGATTGATTCCATAGAGAGGATGTATGGATATGTAAGCATATACAGATATTCTTCAACCATGCACTTAGATAATTCAAAAGCCATAAAGTTTTATGTGCTGTGACTGCTCCTTTCTAAAAAGGATATAGCTTTTGCTGCAGTGCACTTACAAAAGTAAGTACCCTGTGGCAAAAGCCATGTTCTTTATGAGACAGGAGCAGTCACCAAACATAGCACAGGGATTAGTAATCAACAGCCTCAGTAGGGGTGCACAAGGCTTTCTCTGAAGTCTGGTCTCAGAAGTGGTCAGTACCAGCCTGTGCCAGTCTATTACTGACAGCTACCACTTTCCCAGCCACTGAAGGAGAGCATGTGCATACCTTTGCCATTTCCCAGGGCACAGTGACCCCACATCACCAGCAGTTTTAAATTCTGGTAACAGGTTCCCAATTCAAGTGAAAATGGACGACATACATTCTCATAACTTCAGTCAGCGTGGTAAATTCTGGCCCAGGACCAATGACAAACAGCAGGAGAAGCAGCAACACTTATGATACCAGCCATTGGCTGAGTGAGTATGAGTCAAACTTGAGGAGAAGTTAAGCAAGTAATGTCAGAAATGGCGCTGCAGATTCTGGCAACGCGTGCTAGGAATCCTCCAACTGTCCAGCTGCTCATTCTGCCCAGAGTAAAAGATGCAAAGCTTGCAGCCAAGGTGATAAACAAGATCAATGTGCAGTGAAGGTGTACTTGCATGAACTTCAACAGAGGTTTCATGTACAGTACACACAGATTTCTGTCACTAAATTGTGCTGGCAATCCCTAAACCTGCCTCTTCAAATATTTCATCATGTGTGCTACCCTGACTAAAGGTAGCATGGGTTTGCCAAGTTAGAGCAGACACACCTTTACTTGCTGGGCAAGTACACCCAAGACTTAAATATATCTATCCAAACACCCAAATTTAACTTATTTATGTGAAGACATAGATGCAAATAGAACTACCACAGGATACTTTACTGTTGTTAGTTTGTTTTCAAATAGAACACAAAATCAAGTAGCACAAAAGGATGCAGAAATTAGAAGTTGCAGGGAAAATAAAGCTTCCTCAAAAGGCAGAAAGAAACAGAATAGAAAAAAAAAATCATCTCTGTAAACATTCTGGTCTTAGCTAAGCATGAAGAATTTTCTTATTTTTTGATTGTGAAACTGAAGACTGAGTAGAATGGGGTGGAGCATGCATGGGGTAGATTGTTCTGCCTGACAATCCAACAAGTCCCAGAGGAAGGCCATGGCCTTTTTGAGAAGAAAAAAAAGATCAAAAAGAGAATGAATAAAATTGTCTCAGTATGAAGGAGGAAAAACACAGGAAGAACTGAGAAACAGGAGAATCAGCAGCATATAAAAGGCCATCATAGGCTGGTCACTGCTCTCTATTTAGCAGAACAAAAATTACACATTTCTAAGTGATTTCCATCTCTTTTGGTATAGTGAACTAGTAAACACAGCAAGGTGATCTGAAGGATCAACCTTAAATAAACATGGCAAATTTTGTGTTACTGTCACATCTGAAGGAAGGTAAGGTGCAATTTTAAATGCTTATACTCACTCCTACTTTCTAAACTAGAACTTGCAGAAGGCCACACACAAGGCACTGCTGCAAGAAACTGAAGATTCTGCTCACTGAGCAGCTTATTACAAAACAACAAATTCTAGGATGGATATAATGGGAAGAGCAGGAAAATAAAAGAACGTGGTAAGAATGAAAATCAATGACACCAACAAATTCTGCTAATTTCTAGTATTTTTCTAGAGATAAAGAACAAGAATTATTTTTTAAAAAACTACGCAGGGAAAGTAAAGATTGTCTTAATCTGTCTTCTAACAGTAAAAGAGGAAAACTATAAGGAAAGTTATTATCTGTCTATCATCTTATACTGACAAATAAGGAGCTAGGACCTGCTGCTTGTGAAACACATCACTCTGCAGCAGCATTTTCACCTCTACACTGGATGGAGACCTCTGAGTTCATTTGTGTGGCAAACTCTCGCTTCTGAACGTGGCTGTAGCTGCCAAACCTTTCCCCAAAAAACTTTCAAAGAATCAACAAGAGCTAAGATTTGCACAAGTTAGCTGAAACTGAAGTAGGAATTCCAGATAATCTTGGTTTAAGGAGGAGCCTGTGGAATGGGAAACGAGGCATCTATTTCCTGAGTTTAAGATCAAATTTTGTCCTGTGCAACTGACCATGTAAGAGTTATTTCGTATTTAGGATGAACCTATAACCCCTCTACAGACATGCAGATAGATAGATTTAATTTAAAAAACACATTCTTAGAAGAAAAAACTGCCTCAGAAACTAAAAAGAATGTTTCACTCATAGAAACTAGCCCCAAGGTGCTCTGTAATGCCTCATCCCTACTCATTGTCACAATTCAGAAAACACCTGCTCTGCTGCTATTTGAGTGATACTGAAAACACCTTTCCTATTGGACATCACTCTTACTAAATTAAAAGCTCCTAGAAATAAAAGTGAAATTATATTTTTCTGCATTTATGCGATACAATGGCTACAAAAAATATTTCTCTGATTATAGCTAAAAGCATGAGAGAAAAAAGAGAAACCAACAAAACATGAGTCTGGAGAGAGTGAGAACTTCTTATTCTTGTCTCTTTTTGTAATAGTCTGATTTTTGAGGCAATTTGGAATGTTTGTTCTTATGTACTGATGCCAAAACAGAATGTATAAGTGCATACTTACCAACCATAGTCAGTCTCAGAAAGGCTAGGACATACTCATTGTTAGCCAACCTCCAAAAAGGGCCAATTGTCAAGAATATTGGGGAAAAGAAGGCAACAGCAAAAACTTCTATGCCTGTGAGTGCCAGCGTCTGAAGAGGGAAGTAGTAGATCATTGGTGGCAGTGCATGGTAAAGAGACCAAGAAATGTAGCCTAAAACAAGAACAAACCAGAAAAAGAAAACCCCATCATGTATTTTCAACAACAAGATTTCCTGGAGATTACTTAAGAGGTACCATTTTATACTTTCACATATATATAGACTATCAAATGTATTTGAAAGCAGTTCAAGCAACAACAGCCACCTTCTTTGAAGAAATGTTTGTTATTTCAAGTTAAACAAACACATTTTATGAGGAAATAGAATTATGAAAATAAAACAGCTCTTCCCCCACTCAACGGTTCGTACTTTGAACCCCAGTGAGGTGCTGAACCTCAGCAAGGATCCGTGTTCAGATGGCTGGCTATTTAAGCAGCCCACCCACAGCGTGAGGGCTCCTCAAAGGCAGACGGGTGACAAAGGAATTATTCTAGTAAATCGGTGTGCTGTTCTCCCCTGGAGACACCTTCTCCGGGCACAGCAGCACTGCGCTGGGAGTTTCCAGCCTTTGCAGGAGATGCACCGAGCCGAGGACACTGCTCGGCGCCCTGCCTTGAGCAGGACAGCACAGCACCGCCTCTGCAACACCTGCACAAACACTTGGCCCGGAGCAGCAATAAATTCTGGCTGATCCGAGAGACAAAAAGCAATCCAGCATTAGAGGAATAAATAACCCGAAGAAGAACGCTCAGATGAGAGCACTATTTACTCGTCCCAGAGGGGAGCTGTTCATGGGCGACACGCTCGCACGCAGGTGAGCCCC